GTTGACTATTGCGCGTTATCGTGTTTTTGTGTGTTTAGCATATTCCATATTTTTTGGCATTTGAAATAAAAAAGCAATAGATACAAGAAAAGAAGAACTCGTTCGCTTCTTGCCGAATTGTAAAAGTTGGATTTGTCTATGCATGAGGAAATTTGAAAAAAACAGATATTGAGAAAAAGACAATTTTTCAAGAGTGAACAGTTTTTTCTGTAGTGTCAACGCTTTTGCATTTTCAACCGATGCAAGGTTAATAACTACATCAAAGTTATTAACTCAAAATTTAAGTTTTGATGGACATTTCCTTTCCTTTTTTTCGGGAGAAAATCTAGCATACAGTTTCAGGATTCTCTCCTCAATTTCTATTTTGGATGCACCGCGCTCAGAACTTGTTGCTCTATTAGAAATGGGTTGTTTTTTGTTAGAATTTTCCGTATTTTTTTTTAATCGTCTTCGTGGTCCACTTTTTGATAACATAATTGTCCACGCTCTTTTTTACACAAATTTCAAGACAGAAGTCTTGAAACCATTTTTGGCTGCCTGTTGGTTTATGTATGATTCGATTAGATGAGCTCTCGTTCCTGAATATTTTCTTCTCGTTCAATTTGTTGATTTTGTTATTCAAAAGCTTTCTTATTTTGTAATTTGGTAATTTGCCTTCCAACCTAACAAGTTTCACTTAAGCCCTAGGGGTCAATCCATGTGGTAGACTTTCAGTACCCGGCATAATGTGGTACGCACTAATGAGCTCTCCGTAACTTTAGTGTATCCCAAATCTCAGAAAAACAAATAATCAAGAAATTTGTTTTTCTTTTCGTAAAAATCACCCAAGATTTTTTCTCAGATCAAATAGAGGATTTTGATCAGGATCGAATCCCTAATGGTACAACAATCCCTTATCCTCAACTGCTCATTCGCTTTTTAACAAAAAGTTTTCAAGTCAATCACTTTTTCTGTACGTGCACTCTTACCAGATACCTAGATGTTGGTCATCAGCATCAACGCCTCTCACATTCTTATTTGTAACCTGATTGATGGTATCATTCATCTACTTTGAAATATCCTTGATGTAAAAAAAACTTTTAAATTCAATAAGTATTAATAATTGAATCCAAAAAAAATTGTCTTTTTGTTAATTCAAACAGCGTAATTGTTCCGACTTTCGTTACGAAAGTAACGGAATATTTGTGCTCGGGAGGGGTTTTTTTCCTTCAGACAAAATTCGACTTTATAACAAGCCATTTTTGACGGAATTTTTTTTTATCATGCAAAAGGTATTGTTGTCTTGAGCTTAAATTTGAAAAATTATTTCACCTCTGATTTTTTTTCGTAAAGTTATGGGGGTTTAAAGATTGCCATTCTGGCCAATTTGGGACAATTAACGCGCGATATATTTCGAGCTATTAACGCGTAAGTGAGATTTAATCCGTCTTAGAAATCGTTCCAAATTGGTTCAAAAAAGCTTATATGCCATAAATGATTTGTTAACAGGAGCAAAATTTGTCACTTAATACTTATTATGACGTGTGGGGGGATGATTTTTCAAAAAAAATTCAAATTTAAGAAAAAAAAATTTCAATTTTTTTTTACATTTAGTTTTTTTAATGTTTTTACTGCTTCATAAAACCTAAAAGGCAGTCGGAACATTCAAGGCTTCGCCTTGATACGAGCAGTCTTGTTGTTCTGACTTTCGATACGAAAGTAACGGAATATTTGTGCTCGGGTGGGTTTTTTTTTCTTCAGACAAATTTCGACTTTTAAACTAGCCATTTTTGACGGAATTTTTTTTACATCATTCAAAAAGTATTGTTGTCCTGAGCTTAAATTTGAAAAAAAATTTCACTTTTGATTATTCTTTGTAAAGTCATGAGGGTTTAAAGATTACCATTTTGACCAATTTGGGACAATTAACGCGCGATATATTTCGCGCTATTAACGCGTAAGCGGATATTTAATCCGTCTTAGAAATCGTTCCAAATTGGTTGAAGGAAGCTTATTTGCCATAATCAATTTGTTACAAGGAGCGAAATCTATTCTTTTGTAGTTTATATGGCGTGTGGGGTGATGATTTTCATGGAAAAAGTTTCAAATTTTTGAAATTTTTTGTTCCATTTTTTTTACGTTTAATTTGTTAATGATATTTATGTTATTACTGCTCCATTAACTTTGAAAGGCAGTCGGAACATTCAGGGCTTTGCCCTGATACGAGCTGTTTCGTTTTTCCGACTTTCGATACGAAAGTAACGGAATATTTGTGCTCGGGGTGGGTTTTTTTTTCTTCAGACAAATTTCGACTTTTTAACTAGCCATTTTTGACGGAACTTTTTTTATATAATTCGAAAGCTATTGTTGTCCTGAGCTTATATTTGAAAAGATATTTCACCTGTGATCATTTTTTGTGAAGTTATGAGGGTTTAAAGATTGCCATTTTGACCAATTTGGGACAATTAACGCGCGATATAATTCGCGCTATTAACGCGTAAGCGGAGATTTAATCCGTCTTAGAAATCGTTCCAAATTAGTTGGAAGAAGCTTATTTGCCATAATTGATTTGTTACAAGGAGCGAAATCTATCCTTTTGTACTTTATATGGCGTGTGGGGTGATGATTTTCATAAAAAATTTCAAATTTTAGAAACTTTTTGTTCATTTTTATTACATTTTATTAAACATTAAAAGGCAGTCGGAACATTCAGGGCTTCGCCCTGATACGAGCAGTCTTGTTCAAGTTTAAAATCGGCCGTTCAAAAACTTCAGAAAGAAGATTTGCATTTGAAGGTCGAGAAAAAAGAGCAACTGTTTCTCAGCTATGTTTCATTCTTTTGCTAAATTATTTAAAAAAAAAATCAATAAACAGCCTTTTGGCGTGATTTTTTTTAAAAAAAATTGCTTGCGAAGATATTTTTTGGCAGACAGCGGGTAGAATTTACGGAATGAAAATTATTTTCTTTCTGCTGAATGTAGTGCCCTTAATTAATTGAAATTGAATAAACTTAAGTGACATTTCTGTAGATCGAGTGTATTTGATTTATTTTATTTCTCCGTAAACCAAAGCTATGCCAGAAAATTGTTCACTTTTTGGGGCTTAAGGGATTTTGACCTCAAAGTTTGTGATAAAACGTTTGTTTTATTATTGTTCCGACTTTCGATACGAAAGTAACGGAATATGTGCTCGGGGTGGGTTTTTTTTTTCTTCAGACAAATTTCGACTTTTTTAACTAGCCATTTTTGACGGAATTTTTTTATATCATTCAAAAGGTATTGTTGTCCTGAGCTAAAATTTGAAAAGATATCTCACCTGATATTTCACCTGATTTTCACCTGATTTCAAAGATATTTCATAAAATTAATTTTTTTTAAAATCTTCATAAAGTTAATTTTTTAAAGTTAAAATTTTTCGTAAAGTTATGGGGGTTTAAAGATTGCCATTTTGGCCAATTTGTGATAATTAACGCGCGATATATTTCGCACTATTAACGCGTAAGTGGAGAGTTAATCCGTCTTAAAATCGTTCCAAATTGGTTAAAAGAAGCTTATTTGCCATAATTGATTGGTTACAAGGAGCTAAATATATCTTTTTGTACTTTAAATGGCGTGTGGGGGGATGATTTTCATGAAAAATTTCAAATTAAAAAAAAATTTATTACATTTAATTTTTTAACGTTATTACTGCTCCATAAACCTTAAAAGGCAGTCGGAATATTCAGGGCTTCGCCCTGATACGAGCAGTCTTGTTATAATTTTCTCATCTGTGATAAATCTATGACAGGATCTGTGATAATTTGTGATGTAATTGTGTTAAAGAGTGTTAGAGAATACGAAGACTATGATGAACAGTTTCCTGTTGATAACATATGTATGATTGTGTTCGAAAAGCATTTATAGTCAACAGACCAACGCGGATTTTAACCTTTTTGCGACAATGTAACTAAATTACATTTTGCTGCGATTTTTGAAAAAACGTTTTTGGTTTGAAATCTTCAAGCTGAATATTCATTAAGATGTTTGTAGAGTTGGGTTTTTAATTGAAGTGTTGTTTTTCTTTAACGATTCGAATTATGTAAAAGGCGTTCAAAGTGATTCTCAGTGCTGAGAAATGGCTTGTAATCAATTCAGACTCTCACATAGCTCGAACTTTTGGGGGCTATTCTAATGCGCGAAGGACCGAATGCGCAAAAAAAAATTGTGTGCGAAAAACCGAAAACAAAATTAGCCGAATGTCAATTTTTAAAAAGAAGCAGTTGCCATTCAATTAAAGAGAAGTAAACGAAGAAACAGTTTGCTTCTTTCATTACGAAACCCTTGAAATGTAAAACTTGTCCCAATTTTGCGGCGGTCAATGACAATATTAAAGTTTTGTATATTTCTGCCGTTTTTATATTCGGCCAATCTCAATACCCCAGTCCCTGGAAATGTTTACTTTCTTTCCAAATTTTAGATTACTGAAATCTGATTGGCTGATTTATATTTTTGCGCATTCGGACCTTCGCGCATGAGGGATTCCACCGAACTTTTCACATAGCTCGAATTCAAATTTTTGGTTATGAGGCAGTATTTAGACAACCGCGTATTCAGACTCGTCAGTAATTAGACAAATACTGTATTAACCTATCAGAATCGAGACAAGGAAAAAATGAATAATTGATAATTATTTATTTCGTAAATTTGCTTTCTCATCTCGATTCTGATTGGTTAATATGACATTTGTCTGCTTACTGACGAGTATGAATACGCGGTAGTCTAAATAGAGACCGCACTCTTAAGTTTTCACAGCTCGAACTATAAGTCAATAGTCTTAAGATATCGCATAAAAGCCTCTTTCCCGCCTCCCTATGAAAAGTATATTCTGCAAATTACAAAAAGTATAAAAGTAATTTTGAAACATATATTTTAACGCTTTGTAGCTTTATACTTTGTGACATCGAATTTGCGACCTTTTAAAGTTCGAATGGAACTTAACAGTGACTTTTCTGGTCGCACATTCAGTTCCAATCTGTTCTTTAGTTTCGCTGGTTGCGTGTCTGCCCTTCATGATTGCCACGTGGATTAACCCTTCCGACAAGACTCACATCTGCCGTGAAGGATGGGGAGCGAAGGCCAATCTGGTGGCCTACTCTTTCTTCTTCGTGCTGGCCTACGTGCTGCCGGTGGGCACTGCACTAGTATGCTACGGCAACGTATTCAAACTGCTCAACTCGACCGATGACCAATCTCAACAAGCATGTATGTTTGATCGTGTAGTAAAAAACAAACTTTGCGAAAAAGCGTTGTCAGAAGAGTTGTCATGATGCAGAGTTGTCATTTTTCGAAAATCAGATGTTGTAATGGGGTTTTACGAGGCTAAATACGAGGCTAAAGTTTTTTTTTGTCACGTCTCAATTAGTCCGCAGACTTTTGTAACAATCACGTAATGTGATCAAAAATTTTTGATGTAAGATCTCGCACTTGGTTGGAACAAAAGAGCCTTCATTGGTCATATGAAAAGAGTGGTCAGTTTTTTATATCTTTGTCCAAAACTCCATACCGAGGTTCTCGATATAATGCTATTCGATTTCCTAAACTTGTTTTTTAGATTGAAGTTCAAATAGTAGATCGACTTATAATATGACTCGTACCATAACGCCTTCCTCTTTTGACATTTTCTGTACCACTGGCAAGTTTTTGAAAAAAAATCAGGACAGCAATGCCGTTTTTAGGAAATTTTTTGAAATTTTGCTCAAAAAAATTGTGCTTTTTTTTGCGCGCTGCCTCATAAAAATTACTGTTTTCAGGATGTCGACAGATAGTTTAAGAAAAAGAGATCTTTTGGATAGTTAAGGGGTCAGAATATTTGTGCTCGGAGTGTTTTTCTCCAGGCAGAAATTTTCTCAAGACAGAAGTTTTGACCGAAATTATTTCAAAAGCCGATTGATATTAATGCATTGATAACATTATGAACAATAACACCCATTAAACTCTGCCCCATTGAAGCATACACGAAACCATTCCAAATTGAATTGAGGCGAGCACTTTACTCATATGATATGGTACCCGAGTTAAACAAGACTTGTATATCAGAAGCTTGTATTTAAGGACTCCTTAAGCCAGAAGCAAACATTTGTGCTCAAAAAGTTTAAGAAGTAATCGAAAGAACGAATTTTCCGGTTCCATTTTTCTTGTTAAGCCTTTTGTCAACTTAAACGTGCTGCAAATTGCCTTTATTGGCACATTGTTTGGCTAATTTACTTCATTTAAATTCAACTTAATGTAATTTAATAGCGCGCATATATACAAGGCTAGTGGAACCTGATCTAAACTACATTGTATGATTGGATAAATTAGATATTTTACCACTGTAAAGTATTTAATATTAACCAATCATGATCCATCTAACTAACAACCCACTTATTTGTAAGTGCTGAAATTACTTGTAATTTCAGCACCAGAGAGATTTGAATTTAACTTAGAAATTAGTTGCCTCTCCAAGAGAACTTCAGCAGCCGCAATAAACCAGTATACCCTAGATCTATTGAGCCTAGCAGAGACTAGTTAAACAACCTGAGACTAGATAGTATAAGAGTAAGATTAGGATCGGTATTAGACTAAGAAGTTGCACGAATCTATCCGGCCGAAAATAAGATAGCGTGACGAGCAGACGGTGTACCCTATCCGAAATTACTCTATGAGTTAACCACATCGGTTCTAACTCATCTGGTGCTACCATAAGTCTCGAACAAGACCTTAATAGCTTAGAATTAACCAAAAATAGATTAGAATTTAGACAAAACATTTTCAAAATGTTATACGACGATAATTTAATCGAAATGTCTCTACGACTCAATAGATCAGAGCCAATATCTGAACGATAATAGAACTACCCGGAATTGGAAGAAGACCTCGAACCAGAGACGACATACGACAAAGTAGAAACTTACCAAATAGTTATATGATAGTACGGCAAAAGCCAACACAAACTTTTATATTTAGAATTTTATTAGCAATGAATTTAGATTTTCATTTGCATACATAAAATCTTCAAGTCAATCTTCATGATCATTTCAGGCGCTAAACAAAACTATTAATATACAATAACGATTGATAAAAAGATCTCAGATCGTTTTCCTAAAATCTGCAGTATTATATAAAACATGTTTCGAAAATATTTATTGAAAATCAAAACAAAAATTAGTAGTATGACAATAAATTGTTAGTAATCATAAAAATCATCTGTTGCCCCAGCTTCATCACCTAAACATAACAGCAATCATAAGCTCACTAAATATCAAAAACTAACATTTTGAACAATTTAAACCATTTAAAACTTAAAATATAATTTTAAAATCAGATCATCAAGGCTTATCCTTGGATCTACATTAAATTTTTCTATTTTATTAAATTTAAAACCTGATCATCAAGGCCTATCCTTGGATCAAAAAGAACAATTTTGTTCTCTCCCACCCACTTAGCAAGTGTCTAACGACCTCAAACGTCGATTCACTATCCAACCCTTTCAAAAAACCCAAGACTAATAGAAATTTTTGAACAAAACTAATCATTCAAATTAGGATAAACAGTGAAGAACTTCGGTTATTCATCCTTCACTTGAACCCTCCTCTTATCAGACCCAGGATAAATATTAGACTTAGTAAGTTTAAAATAGTATCTAACGAATTACTCGCGTTCTAATTATACCTGAACCTTGTGGATCGATTTACTATTCTCCAACCCTTGAACACAATCACTACCCCTAAGTAAGATTAAGTAAGTTAACACCTTAGCTTATATTAGCCACGAGAAAGTAAAAAATCATTCTTCGGAATCGATATACTTTTCTCTCCAACCCTGAACAAATAGACCCAGGTTAAGCTAACCAAAAAATCGTAAGGACTAACAGTTTAAGAAAGTAGAAATCATCTAACAACTTTTTGCATCCGTCATCCTAAACCTTATGTCATTTAAAAATCAAGGAAACAAACAAACATTCGTTTTACACAACTGTGAAATAGATAACAAAAAATACGACCTTGTAATCACACCTCATACACAAACAGTTGGATATATTAGAACAAAACGACAAACACTAAAAAGGAAAATAATAACCAAACAAAGACAAATCACACGAAAAAGATTTTCAAAAAATAGAAACGCATTTTCAGAATCAGAAGCCAGCAATTTAGACCAACTTTATAAATTAAAAGAATCTATTGATAAAAATTGCCCCATTCACGGTCAATTATATTTTTCCGACTCAGAAACAACTTCAAATTCATCAAAAAGAGGAAAAAGAAGAATAAAAAAGCAATATAAACAAAAACCAGTAAACTTGTATAATTGGAATCAACCAATTAGACACATCGATAATTACCTATTAACAGTCATTAAACGAAAAAATGAGCCAAACACACACTCCAAGTGAAGATAGTCCAGATGATGACCAGAGGATGACTGAAGATAGTCCTTCCTCGTAGATGCACCCGATAATAGAGGACAATATGATCTTTGCAAGAATTTTCTCCTAAATTTGTTTGAACCCGGAATCAGCCCATGTAAAGCAGAGTTCCCAGATGTAAGAATCAAAAGACAAATTATTGATCACTATCTCAAAGATATATGTAATTTAACACAACGGAATCTACACCATAGAATTCAGTACACCAAGCCCGAATCACCGCAGATATGTAATTAAAACAGACGATCTTGACTTAGAATTTTCAAAAGTATTCTTAGAATATATAAAAAGCATACAATATCATAACTCACAAAGAGCAAACTTCATATTTACTAATGAAGTTTTTGCAATAATATTTAGTTATATTTCAATATTAGAAAACGAAACCCCAATCTCAAATGTCTCACCGACAGAGACATCCAAACATATAAGGGTACGACATGAAATCACACTATTTTCAACTTTCCCACATATAATTAAAGAAAATTTCACTAAAGATGAAGTTTCACAACATACAAAACATGACTTACAAAAAATTTTGGCATGGTTTATAATAGATTATTTCACACATAATATAGATTTAATTTCGCAAGCAAGAAAAAATTTCAGACCGCCATCACAGAACAGTCAGACTACGTTTGGGACCCCGAATGGTCTCATTATGCATTCATAAATATCCCACAATCAATCTCAAGTCAAGCAATAAGTACAATATCTTATGCAAGAGATTATGTAAGAGTAGTACCATTAACCATTGATGCAACAATATTAAACTACAATACATTTTTACCTGATACACGAAATAACAGTTTAAATTCGACCGTCATACACAATGAAAACCTTAATGGAACTAGGAATCTCACTCAACAAGATATTCAAACACCATCACACTTCATAAATGAAGAAATCGTCCAAACAACAACAACTACACAACAAAGTATTTCACCAATACGTCCAAATTTAACAACACTAAAAAATACAAACACTTCACTAGCACAGGTAACCTTACAATCAACCGTTAAACCTTCGGTTGCTCCAAAATATTCACAAATGGATCATCAAACATATAGACCCATGACAATACCGTCAAAAACACGCAGAACGTTCACAAGAAACACTTTTGCGGAACACAATTATAATTACGCACATTCATCAAAAACAAGCTATCCCCCACGAAAAAATAATAATAATCAGATAAGATCTCAATATTAGGATAACCCAATGGCAACAACCAACTCAGTAAATTTTCAAACTAATTCACATCCTCCACAGGATCGTAGTGAAAATTACCCATTCTTTCAACAGAATAAAAATAAAAAACAAGCACCTCATCAAACGGATTATCTATCCTCTGATGATGATTATTTACAACCAGATATATTTGCACCATATACTCAAGAATATCGTGGACAAAGAGTGCAGAAACCACATACATATCATAGAATTTTTTCTCCACATCCAATAGATACACAAAATCAACAACCAATACAAATGCAAAACCTAATTATTACACAATCTTTTCAACCAATTCAGCCACAAAACCCAATGATTACACACTCGTATCAACCAACACAAATGCAAAATGAAATACCACTCCCATATTACCTTCAACAACACGAAATAACAAAAAATCAACTTTCAAATTTTTCACAAATGCCAAATGCCGCAGAATCATTACAAATGACAATGAATCCATACCTTATGGGTGGATCATCAATAACATCAAACAAACCATTAATGGTATTCACAGGAACAGACCCTGAATATTCTGTAGAAGATTATTTAAATGCAGTAA